ATTTGATTACCATCCCAGAAAGCCCGACCCAGTTTTCCAGTCTCTCTAGTAGTGTTATGATCGACGGTGTCAAACGCAGCACTGATATCTAGTAGTACCAGCACTGATATTTTGCCAGAATCAGAATTTAAGCGAATATAATTTATTATCTTAATGAGCGCTGTCTCTGTGCTGTGATGCGGTCGGAAACCAGATTGAAAATTGTCCAGGTATCCATTGATTTGAGTTTAAGTATTTGTTCAGCTGATTAAAAACTACCTTTCAATAATTTTGCCTATAAAAGGAAGATTTGATATTGGTCTATAGTTGCTCAATATGGTGTTATCAAGATTGCTCTTTTTCAGAAGGGGTTTAACAACTGCAGGGAAGTGTGTCAAGATAGCAGGTTGACGATTTAAGGTTCTGTACTATTTCTTCCAAAATTTTGCTATCAATTTCTTCAAAAGCAGACATAGTATCTTCTTTTTGATATTGTGGTCGAATCTGTCTGACCTCTGCATAACTTGGGGATGTCCTCAGAAAGAGCTGCTCACATGATGGTTCTGTTAGTGTGGTAGAGGGACTAAGAACTTTCTTCTTATCCTGCCCAGGAAACCACACATCTGCTCAGGCAAACCTGGAGCCTCATTTGAGTAAGGCTCTCATCACATGGACAGACACTGGACACTCACTGACGCTAATGAATCATCAATGTGAAGTACAGTCCATTACACAATGGCAGTGCTGAAAAGGTCAGGATGTTTGCTTTGACTCACAGACTAGGCTAGTACAAATACTAGATTAAGCATAGTTCACATGAAATTCTATTGTCTGTGGTGTGACGTGTTGTACGCATTTTGCTGATCCTTTGGATTTTTTGAAAGTAATACAAGGAATAAGATACATTTTTGTGAAACTGTATGGAAATATGGATTTTTCCTCATATACACTACTTATCAAGTTTGGAATAATTATGATTTTTAAATGTTTTTCAAAGACGTATCTTATGCTCATCAAGGCTGCATTTATTTGATTAAAAATCCAGTAAAAACAGTAATATTCTGAAATATTATTTCAATTTAAAATATAAATGTTCTATTTTAATATATTTTAAAATATTTTTTTCTTGTGATGACAAAGCTGAATTTTCAGCAGATATTACTCCAGTTTTCAGTGTCACATAATCCTTCAGAAATCATTCAAATATCTTATATATATTAATCAATACTAAAAAAAGAGCTTCTGCAACCTAATGTTTTTGTGGAAAACCTCAATACACTATGTATGTTTTTTTAAGATTTATAAAAATAATTAATACCTTTAATCAGCAAGGACACTGATAAAAATGACAGTAATACTAAAGATTACGATTTAAAATAAATACTGCTCAAGGAACACTTGATAAAAAATAATCTTTAAAAATGTATCCACTGCAAGAAAAAATTATTAAGAAAAATTATTAATAACAGTGCACCTATAATTATTGATAATTACTGCACCAAACCAGCATATCAGCATAATATAATCATTTCTGAAGGATCATGTGACACTGAAGACTGGAGTAATGGCTGCTGAAAATTCAGCTTTTTCATTACAGGAATAAATTATATTTTAAACTATATTCAAATACAAAAGTTATTTTAAATTGTAATAATATCTTACAATATTACTGTTTCACCCTATTTTTGATTAAATAAATGTAGCCTTGTTGAGGATAAGACACTTCTTTTAAAAAACATAAAAAAAATCGTAATTATTCCAAACTTTTGACCTATAATGTATACATTTACAAAATATAAATTCTCTAGCTCTCTCTCTCACACACACACACACACACACACACACACACTTAAACCTTATGCTCAATTACTCTTAATGTAAACACAACAAATAGAGCTCAGCAATGTTAGTTTTGCTTTTTGACACGGAAAGTGGCCAATATCAACTAGTAGCATTCAAATGTAACTGCAATTCATTCAGTGCCTCTTCATATGTTTCCTTTTCCATTGACGTGAGCTGCAGATGTGCCACGACAGCAGCTCCAGAAACACAAGCGCGTCTTTTCTACTCTATATCTATGTTCTAGACATTCACCAACCAAAATATATGTTCTAGACATTCACCCACCAAAATAAGACCAACAGAAGCAGATCCACTGTGTAAACACTCTCGACTCTCGCTGAACTGTTGCCACTGATCAACACAACACTGCCCTTTATTTGTCAACCGGATCACGTACTGATCACACTAGCACGATAGCTGAGCTCGATAGACACTTCATCTACTCACCTGTCAGATCTAGATATCGATTGATCATCCTCCTCTCCTTCTTTCTGTTGCACCTGAACAGCATTTTGGCTTATTGTCATCGCCATGTTGGTGCCGCTAACGTGCGAAAACGCATGTCCGGAAGTGCGTTTGCGTAGCCTAATGCTTGCGGTGGCCCCTGGCCAGAGCCGTAGAGAGTCTTTCTATGGCTCTGCCCCTGGGGCGTAGTAATGATCGAATTATGTAATTATGTAGTAATGATCGCGTAGTAAAAAACGAATGATGTATGATTCTTTTTATTTAATTTAATTGTATTACTTATTATATAATAATATTATATATAATGCTATTTATTACTATTATATTATTAGATTTCACCGTTTTTTGTTATTTTGAACAATTAAATGATATGTTTATTCATAGTATTTTAGAAAAAACAATTAAAGCTGAAGAAGAAATTTCAACACACTTCAGCAATAAAAAAAAAGACAAGTGTTTGTCTAGAGTAATTTTTGCTTATTAGTATGGTTGAACTGGGTCATCGAAAGTCAGAAACAAAGACATTGGTTAATAGAGTGGTTATATATATATATATATATATATAATCAGTTTATTATTTTAATTCACAGTTAACAGATACATTTTCTTAATTAAATTGCATTTTATTTTATTACCGAATACCGCTTAAAAAACAACATGCCTTTTTTTTATTGAACACATAGCCTATAAAGGTAAATACACACATTTACAGCTCAAAACAGATTACAACAGCAATAAGAGATATAATATAAACAATATACAAAGAAACAGGAAAATAACCAAGAAAAAAAAAACATTAAGCCAGGGGTAATATATAATTTAAAATAAATTAAATTCGAGAAGAAAGGAGAAGACGAAGAAGAAGAAAAAACATGACGTCCTTTCTACATTTTTGCAGGCTCGAGCTGATAAGAACTTGTCCATTTCTGTTATACAAACATGTACACCCCTTTGCACTGCAGCCAAAATTGCGCAGCACACGATTTGTTCCAAACACCAGGCACACGCATTCATTCCCAACAGACGAAGACTTAATTCACGTAAAACATGCGCTGTCGCCTTTTACGAATCCTACTACAGCTCAGGCTCAGCTCGTAATTATTAATTATGTCCTGGTGACGTTGCTTGGTAGCTTTCCAATGGCGAACGACTGGTGCTTAAATATTACATCTGTAATTATGAAGTTGCTTTTATAGGCCTGCCTTTAGCTCATAAACATTAATAGCCGTGCCTTCACCATAGTAAGGTTCGTAAATGAGTTTGACTGGACTGCTGAATCTTCTTCTGCACCAGATCCATCCGATCTCACACACAGCCAAGTTTGCCGACTCCGCATACAGCATCGGAATTACTGACTGCAAGCTTGTTTTCTCTTTTCTGTGGATCTGATGCAATGAGTGCTTTCACTCATTTCTTGAATCCTTCGAAGATGGCTTGGAAGAATTATTATTTTGCCGTCTAATTAAAAACGCATATTTGAATATTCGGTACGGTTTTTATTAACTCGATTCTTCACTGGTAACTGAAGCTGCACGGGACCATGGATCCTCCACCGACTTCAGAGAAATCGCATCTCATTAACGAAAGAAACGCCAAGGTATACTCTTTCAAACTTAACAGGTAAAATTACACTAATCTATTTCATTTATTTATCTATTATTATTTTTATTAATAATAATAATAATAATAATAATAATTTTAGGAGAAATGTGTGATTCGAAAATGCTTGGTCTGGAAATCTGTGCGCAATTAATGATCTGAATTATTAAAATTGGCCTGTATCTTGTGTAGCATTTTATGGAGAATACAACATATAACAATAATAATAATAAAATGGCAATTTAAAATAGTTAGGTCTAATTGAGGATTTTCGAAATCGTTTGGTTTTCATACATCATAACTCTCAAAATCCTCTTAACGTTACAGACCTGTCACAGCGAACAGGTGGAGTCTGATATTTCCACATTGTGACACTGTAATTCAAAAGCCATATGCACCAATATTAGTTAGCCTACTTCACGAAAGCCATCCATGTTTATTCTGAGAACAGCACGTAATTTAAATGTGTATTTGTTAAGCATGCAGTGCACGAGATGCTTATAGTTTTAATTTAAAAAGTAAATAATTTCTGTGCTTGAGTTCATTTTGGACAGTAGCCTTTTTGAGCAATGGCCTCAGGGGAGTTTAGTGAGCAGAAGAATGAGCGGAGTCTACATGGCATGGCTTCCATATGGGCTAAGCTTTTCATTGTGTTTCTTTGAAGTAATAAAAATCAGATGAAGAAACATAATTGTTATCAAAATCTTCACAGCCTCTTTTTCTTCCTTTAGCACGCCGTACTAAAATGATCCTAATGCAAGCAGGTGATAGAACAGTTTCAGCACCATGGACAGATTCACAAGAGTTGGTAAAAAGAGCAACAGTTAAATCAAACGCGTACTCAGAAATGATAACCCATGCATATTTAAAAAATATATAAACATTATGTTATATCAATATTATTCCTACTCCTAATTATAAGCAGCTTCCTGGAGGAAATACATTTTTTAATTTTTTTTTTCCGTCAGGGTAAGAAATATTTTACTCGGAATTTTGAACCATTATTAGGCATAGGCCTAAATAACATAAATTAGAGCTACTGATATACGTAACAAAAATTCGTCAGCATTTATCATGAATAATACGAAAATATGACGCAAAACAATTGTGTTTAAGGTGAAAATATGTTTTAAATATTTAAATGCATAGGCATATGGGTGGAAACACTCTTGTTAAAAGTGTGACATAACACAAAATTTTCACAAACCCATTTTTTTAAACCCAAAGCTGTATAAAGTAGCTTTTACATTTTTAATTTTTGCATTTGCATTTTTACATTTAGGATGATGTCGAGGATCAGTACGATTAGCTATATTCTATTTCAAATGCTTAAGTTGAACATATGTTTAAAACTGCGCGATAAAAATGAGTAAAAATCATACGATAGTTACCACAGGCGATTGTGCAAATGTTATATTGCCTTAGAAGTCATTTTCAAGTGTGCAGTGAATTGCAATGAACAGCCTGCTGTTTGCATTAGTTGGATTGTGGTCTTGAGTGAGAAATGGCGAGAGCTCAAGAAAATTCAGTATGAATTTAGATGGATGTGACAGGCGACTTCTAAAGCTGCTGAAACAAATAAAGGATCACCTAGTTAGCTTGGAGACATATTACATTAACAAAAAGGTCATCTCAAAACATAGTACACTGGTGATGGTACATCAACAAGTCATCTGAACAAATATCTAAGGACATGGAACAAGGGCACCTGAGAAGTAGATGCTGTTACTCTACCCAGGAAGTAGGTATTCTGATTTATGCAATGTTTTCTCGAACTGAAAATATGCCGGGCGTAAAATATTTGTCTTCAAGAGACAAGAGTCTTGAAGAGAAAAATGAGGAAATGCAATTTATCATATCAATATGTGATAAATGTTCGATATTTTTAACTATATCAATCAATCCTCCAAGTATAATGTTAAAAACATTTATTTAAATAAAAATTTTGAACGTTATTTTAAAGGGGGAAAAAATGCTTTATTTTCAGTCCTAAAATACTGTTATATCAATTACAGGAAATCACAGCACAACACTTTGCACAGTCTTGATCCAGTGACGTGTATAAAGATAAAGTGCTCAGGGCCCTGATGTCATGCTCTACTGCATTGCCACAGGCTCGACAGCATGTTTCAGCCTAAAAACTTCTGCCAAACTGTAAACATCTCCATATGCACCTTACCATACAAAAGATACTTGTATTTAATAAATAGAGGAAATAGTGTTAGATTAGAGGAGGTATACTTTGTCTTATTAAAAGATACTATAAATGCTGTTAAACCTGCCAGGTGTGGTTGCCAGACATTCATTGTATAAAAAAAATAATAATAATAAAAAAAATACGGTGACGTTTCAAGCACAGGAGCAATTTGTGCCAGCTGTATGTTGTACCGATAAAATGTAAATGTTACTAATCTACTTTAGAAATAGTAGATTTTGGTTGTCAACCAACATTATAATAATAAAATAGAAAACCACAAACTTACAATTTGTAATAACCGATTCATCCAGGAATTAATGTATATTGACAAAACCCAAAGCATCACATTGGTAAAACTAAATATAGGCATACACATAAAATGTTACAAAAATAAATAAACGTAAACTATTGTATATAAGATTACAAAATAAGAAGAAACGTAACTTAATGTAGCCTATATATGCTAATCAATGTGATTATTCTAGGAACCGTAAAATATGAGGTGGCTTGTGTTTTTACTTGCAAAAACCCGATTTTGACAACATTTTACAGTTTTATTATTATTTTCATTTACAAAACCCACATTTGTAGAGTACGCTATTTTGAAACTGTTAAGATACAGTCAGGTTAACTGTTTTTTTAATATATCCTTTTCTAAATTGGGAACAGAAAGAAAAACTTTAAATTGTTTCCATTCAAATTTCTCATGCAATTTAAACTGCACGCAGTGAGGCACACTTCCTAACTTAAGCACAATTATATTAGGCCTACTATTATATTTTTAAAATAATAAAAGCTGCAAATTCATAAAATTTCATAGCGTCAGGAGATCAGAAAAGAATATGTGTTGTATGTATATGCTTGGTCTATGTCTGCTCAAAAAAAAAAAAAAATAAATAAATAAAATAAACAACTCATTCAGTGTATCATGTCTGTGTCCCGGTGGGGTGATTAAACAGACGCCGTGTTCCAGTCGACTGACTCCTTTCAGCTGCAGCTCTCGCGGGCGCCTGATGCAGTACTCTGGTTATCTCATGCGCACCGAGATTGCGCTTTCCGCCCCATTAGCCCCATCATAGCGTCTCTCTCATCAATACACAAGACAGAAGGGCCAAAAACGACCATGTCAGCAGATTTAAACTCAGGGGTCCTCTAGGTCCTCATGGCATGTGTATTTACATACAGTATTTTCCCCTACATATGATATATATATATATATATATAGGCTGAGTTGGTGGGTTTTGACTGGTAGTTCATGCATTTAATTATAGGAGCCTATCCCAGCTTTTCAGGCCACAGGCGATTTACATGATA